TATGCAGAAATTCTATTTGACATGACTGCTACTGAAATCTATGACAGATATGCCAAGGTATATACCAAATCCCTCATACATATACATAAAACATTTAACACAATTAATTTTTCTTATAACCTAATATGTACTCTTTTCAATAACACAGAAAATCCCAATTCCGATTGATCTTATCAATCAAAAGATGTAGTAGCAAACATTGCTCTGTGAGATAAGATCGTACCATTCCATAGACAATTTACACCCCTTTATTTTTTCACTGCCTTTGTTGCTGATAAGCCATCACCTCATCCTCTCCTCAAACACCTAAGTGAGCAAAAACTTCCAAAGTCAGAGCAAGAAGAATTGATTTAGAAAATAGGCATGCCTCAGGAACTTGCAACTCTAGCTAATCAATCTCCACCTATTGCCACTCCTAGCTCAATCCACCAAAAAACTTCTTCAAGTGGATCTTCTGCATTTGAAGGAACTACTGTGGCTCAATCAGAGACTACAGTCCCACTGCCATCTGCCAAGCGCAGCTTAGATCAAGAATTTGCCAAAGAATCTAAGCACCAGAAGACCGCATGAAAACAGCTATCTATGTATCTTAATATTTTTGATTCCCTGCAGCTATCAATAACCTTTTCCTCCTATCTACTTTATGTACAAACTTAAGCAAGACATATTTTTGTTTCATTCCTCATCAGACGTTATGCACAACTTTATCACCAATATCAAACACTACTTATATTAAGTTATCAGCTTTCTTTCGCTTGTTCCAATACATCTGACACAGCCAAACATAACTATACATTCACATGACAATAGTTTCATTGAACTGCTAACAATAAAATTTAAAATTCTCTTCTGTTTTCTTCCAGTACATTACTGTATTCTCACATGTCTAACAAGCTCATACAAAAGAACATATCAAAATAAAATGAAAACAAATTTGCTGATATCACCTATTATACATGAATGAAAATTACTATAAATATCATAACTACATATAACTGATAGCAAACAACACAAAAAACCCATGGCAACACCAATTTTTATAGATTGGACAACAGAGACAATAGAAGAAAACAATCACCTGATAACTTGCTTGTTTTACCTTCATACTATTAATGGGCAAGCTGTTCAAGTGATCCAAGCAACCCCAACATCTGATAATAGCTTTACATATGAAATAAGCGTCAACTTTAAAAGAATTATGGGTTCCACATTCATTGATCAACATCCTCAGTATTGGTCATCACACTTCAACGCTGCAGATTGGCTCACATCATTCATTGTCAAGTATCCACCACCAGAAATGATATCACACAAGTTTCTTTCTATTTTGCCAAAGTTTATACATTTAAACACTCCACTAACTAATATAGAACACATCTGTTCCCCATTCACTGACTATAGAATATACATCTATTACAATCTCTGATTCATCGGCCATATCGTTTCTAATCGAATATAGACAAGCATCTCCAGAAGGATTGGTAACTGATAAATCGATGCTTATAGCTTTTCGTTTCCACTCATTTATGTTACTGATATTGCTTTTTCTTACGGAGAATCAATACATTATTTTATCCACATTTGAGAAACTGTTGGACAAATACAATGATTATACAAAATGGAAACCGCACATGGTTTGTCAAACTTGATACCAACTTTCAACTATCCGGATGGACCAAATTCAATCTCCAAGATGGTTCAATTCTTCGATTTTTACATATAGGCTGTATGGTATTCAGAGTAGCCATCTATAATCAAAACAACTGCTTGGTTTCTCATCAATGGAACATCTTTCTCAACAATCCACTATCATCCATTGAATACAGTGAGCAATCCCTTTTCTATAAAACAATCTGCATCTTTCACAAAAATACATCAAGCCTCTATTACAGAATAAACTAATCCCTTTCTTTCTTTATTATTGAAGCAATATTCACAGAACAAGAAAAACTAATGATGCATTTCTCATTTTATATAATGCTAACAGCAGACGATCTTGAATCTTTGGTAAGTTTCATGTAACTTACATTATAATCAATAGAATCCATACACTACATTACTACTTCCTAACTCATATAACAAATACATTTTTTTTCACCTTCTTTCACAGATGCTCGTCGGTGATATACCAACATATATACAAACAAATGAAACAGGAATTATCAACTGCTATCATACTAAAACCCGATGGATCTTTCAGCTAGAAGGGATCCAATTAACAGAAGGTTGGCCAGCATTTGCACGCAAATATTTCTTACATGAAGGAAGTATTGTGCTCTTCACCTTACTCAACGAAAACAATTATCATATCCACCTCTTTGACAGAGACTTCATCTAACAATCATGATTAAACCTCTCTACCAATCATGATTAAGCATCTCCATTACAACTTATCACCCATAACAATTATATTACCCTAAATTATCTATCTTGAATTTAACAAAATCAAAATTTTACCGCCAACTATTACATTTCTCTTATCATGCAACTTCAAAAAATTTATAGCATTACCAACTGGTCTACTTTACTATAACAAAAATTCATATACAAATATATACAATGATAACCCCACACATACGTACACAGAAATGTACATGCACCTTAAAAAAAATTTGACCTTCACACATAACACACAACGAATATAAATTTTCTATAATATATACATCAGCAAAAATATAATTTTTCTATAATATAAATATAGGCAAAAAATTTATATATCTAATGAATACAAATCAATTGTACTGCTTTGTATTAGATTGCACTAATACAACTGATTCTTTTTAAAAATATAAAATAATTTCAAATAATTATTTCAAAAATTAAAATAATCAATTGTTACTTCAATAATATTTCAAAAATTAAAAAAAAATCAAAAAATATACCACTGAAAACCAAAATAAAAAACCACAGACTTTTCTCTAAAACTATAACAAAGATAAGCAAACTACTAGAAATTTACATAAAATACTTAAAACCGCATCCTTATATATACAAACAAAAATATACATGATGCAACTAAAAAAAAAATCATATTAACGCGTGAATCACAAAACAAATTCAAACACCACAAATATAGCAAACAAACAAAACTAGAAAAAATAAACATGCTAAAAGAATATTAAACAGTCATACAACCCCGAATAAAATATTAAATAAACATATACATATATATATACATATATAAATAAATAAATAAAAATATAACAAACAAATAAAACCAAAAAAAAATATAAAAACTATAAAAAATTAAACCATTATATCACCTAAAATAAAATACTAAACTCACACAGACACACACACATATACATACATACATATTACAAAATATATAATCTTTTTTACTAAATCAATATCATCTTTACTTATAAAAAAAACCTACTTAATTAATAAACACATATTTTACCAAGCTACAATATGAAATTATTCCAAATTATTAATTTATCTCATCACACAGCAACCAAACTATATCAAAATTTGCCAAAAAAATATCTATTATTCATTTATTTTTTAAGAAATTTCCCATTCTTTTATATCATTTCCATAGATTATTCCACTAAACAATCCACACATTCTCATCCTAGCTATCCAAATTATGAAAATATTATAATCCTAAAATACATAAACTACCAACACCTAAAGTACAATAAATTATAACACTGTCAATGTAATTCTCCCTCTAATTTTCCATCCTATCAACTTTAAAAAAATAACATATATTCCATTAATTTAAATAATATTCACTTACCACTAAATTAAAATAAAAAAACAAATTTTTTTGAAACCAGTATTACCCATCAAATCTTTATATCATCTTAATTTAAAAAAAGGCAGTACAAATCACTTCAATTTTACTATATCTATTTACAAATAAATCAATCCAATATATCACTCCTCTATCCGTTACTCCAACTCTATCATCATACAGAAGACTCTAAATCTATATTATTAAATAAATCTTATATTACCCTCAAATAGTCAACAATGGACACATCAGGCCTAGTTTAGATATAAACTCTTGTAACTTTCATCCAAAATATCTTCGATTCTGTTCCACAGCTTCTCAAATCAATTTTCCAGCAAGTTGTCCAATAAGCCATAGAAATGCGCTCATAAGTTGACAAATTCATAACAAAAGCTAAGCAAATCATGACATAAAATATATACAAATAATGGATTAATCAATGTGAAAATGTATTAGAGAGAAAAAAATGGTATATTTTGTGTATTTGGTAGAAGATCATATAAGTTTGATTCTTTCACTCAATCTATTATTGATCATAGGTTGACAGGTTACCATTTTACTTTTTATTCTTTTGACAGAAACATATATTATAATAATAGTTTTTATACCATATAAAAATTGTTTTTGAACAGTAAAAAATCTATAATGTTAGGCATTTAGCAAGTAATTTAAAGTATTTTTATACAATTATTGCAAATATACTCAAACTCAAAAAGAAAAAGGGAAAAGAAAACCTTTAAAACAATTTATAGAAATAAATTAGTTACTTTGCCAGTTAATTAACCAAATTCCAAACTATGGCTGCAAATAAGCCGAATTGAATCGAACTTTGATGTAATGGAATCAAGTCTCGATTAAATTTTATCAAACTTGATTTCAACGAACTTTTAATGTAAATACTTGAGTTCAAATTCGATTTCAAATCCGAATCTAATCGAATTCGAACTTGAGCCTATTTGAGGTTAAAAAGTAAAAATGATTATTTTATTTTTAAAAAATGAATAAAATATTTGTTTTTCTTAATAAATAATAAAAATTTAGAGATATATATATAATTTTACTATCTTTTATATATATATATATATATATATATATATAATTTCACTAAGTAGAGGAGTTTCTTTATGCTTGAATCGAGTTCGATGTCTTGATTTGACCAGCTGAGTTCAACTCGAACTTGATGTAACTTGATGTTGGTCGAGTTCGGGTCAAATTTTCACTGAGTTTTCTTGCAACACCATCCCAAATCCACTCAAACAGCCTACTAAACGTCATCGTTTAAGCCCACTTTTCTTTTTCTCCTCCCCAGCGCAACGCCCATTTTTCTTGGCCTCCTCTTCTCCGCGATAATCCTCTTCTTCTTCTCCTTGCTTGGGGAAACAATAGTCACCCTTCTCCTTCTCCTTCTCTCCCGCCTGTTTAAATTGTATTTGAGAAAACAAATTTGGCCTAAGATTGGTCAGTTCCTTGTCAGTTTCTTGTCTTTCTTGGTTGTGAATTTTCTTGTACTGAATTTGTTCGGTGAATGGATTTTCCTTAGGGATTTTCTTGGGGGATTATCATTGTCTTCTAAGTAATTCTAGTAAAAGTAAAGAGCAAGGGTTTTTGATTTGATTGTGTGTTGAAACGGGTTCGTCGAGTGGCTGCTTTTCTGACCCACTAGTCGACTCATCCCGAATCGGGCTGTGGGCTAGGGATGATTCTATTAGGAGGATGGGTAGCAACAGTAAGCGAATTTTCTTTGTTTGTTTTTTTTTTGTGTCAAGTTTTGATTCCGAAATTTGGATTCACCTAAACCTCCCAATTTGGATTCGGGTATGAATAATTGCTGAATTTTCAGACTTTCTGTTTGCTTTGAAAAAAAAAAAAGGATTTTTCGGGTTTTTATTATATTGTGGATGAATGTTTCTTATGCAAATTCCTGATGATGACTTTGGTGTACTATTTGAATGGTTTGAATTTATGGAACTTTTTTTTTGTATTTCTTAAATCATTCAGTATAATGAAAACAGGGTTGTGTTACTGAAGTGAAACGACCAGGCAAATGGCCTTAACCAACTTTATACTCACAGTGGCGGGTGTTGGTGCTGTGATTCTGCTGATGAGGACTGATATCAAGCAATCGTCTACCATCTTCAGACGCAATGTTCGACAGATTCGCCATTGGCTCGAGGAAGAGTCTGCTTCTGCTGCAAAGTATGCCTTCCTTTTAATATCCCCTATATTCGCCATTGTATGTCATGCTCTTATACTTATTCAGTCAGTTTTATAACGAAGAAAATGATTAAATGAAAAGAATTTCCATCTTTGTGTTGAAATTTTGATATGTATTTATTTCTCTTCCAATGCTTTTGTTTGTTTTTGTAGAACATCTGTTCTTTAATAAAGTAAGTGGATGATGAGCTTTTCTCCCTTGTGTGGATGTGTTTTTGTCGAGCAGTAAGCGATATGGTTTAAAATGTCATTTACTGATTTAGTTTTAGGAAAATAAAAAGTTGGTTTTATTCTTTTGACATCTTTCATGTTGTTAACAACCAAAACTGTGGTTCCAGTTTTGGTTGTGGAAGAATCTGAATTCAGTGGTGAAGATCTTTGGTTGTTGAAAATCAGCAACAAATGTTTTGTCTGAGTTAAATGTACAATAACATTCGAACCAAAAGGCATGAAAATGTCCAAACAACTTGGACTGAAATCCTATTCTGGTTGACTGATTTGCTTAGGGAAACAAGTAGAGCAATAATCCAACCTAATTTCGTCACTAGTGGTAGCTAAATTATAATGATTTATTCTTGTTGGCTAAAATGATTTCCTTTATTTGGCCCTTTATATTTTTCTGCATTGGTTTGTGCATTAAGGTAATTAGTCACATTAGCATGTGCCTGCATGGATATCTCTGGGCAAGAAATAATGGATTTTTATGAGAAGTTCATGTTAATATGTTTTTTATAAATTAAGACAGATTTCAAAAATGAGAAACTACTCTATTTTATTTGGAAGACATAGTGAATGCAATTCCTTAATTATACACGTTAAAAGAAACAAAATGGTGGCCAAATTGACCCAGAAATCTTGGATGAGATTGGAGTTCCATATGAAAGAGTGGAATATAGAGAAGAGGAGGGGAACACTTATATGGTTGTGTTATCCAGCTAATTCTTACTTATGTTGTATGTGATGAGAAGAGCAACTTGGGAACTGGTGGTGAAATTTGATAATGTTGCCTATAAGAAGTATTGTGCCCTTCGTGTCCTGGTTTGCTGCGTTCTTTTGTTTGGTTTCCTTAACTGATATTTGTTAATGGAGCTTGGTATATCTTTTTTGTATTGGCAACTATATAATTGTGTGTTTGGTCCCAACTAGGGAAATGGAGAAGGCAAAACCAAAGGAGATACCTGGAAAGGATATACCCAAGGAGGAAAAGCACTAGCTTGGTCCTTGAAACCTGGGTTTATTTAAGAAACTGTACATTTTAGCAATTTTGCTTTAGCTTTTGGTCCATCTTTGTATAAATCTTTTGAGTTTGGAGAGCGAGTTTATGCTCTAGTTTGGATAATTGTGTCATTGGAAGGAAAAAGAATTGAAAGTTTCCTAGTTTAACATTTAAAACGTGGAAGAGTAAATTGCATACTACCAGTTCATATCTTTGTGTTTTTGCCCTTTTTCAGTATCTACTGAGAATTGGGAAAAGTGAACAGACAAAATGGTTGCCATAGTTCTTCCTGTTGGTTATCAGTCTCATTTTGCTGTTGTGACAACAGAGCTGTTGAAACTGGAACCTTAAACCCCATGAAACCACCTAAAACCTTTAGATGGTGGAAACTTTCATGCTCATTGTTTCCAACCTGGACTAGACTGGATGCCTGGGCGATTGGACCGGTTAAGCCATCGATGGGTCTATTGTTCAGACTTGTCAGGTCTAAAAACCATAAGGGTTAAGAAACTGCTCAGTTGAGGTGGTGAGATTAAAGAAACGGCGATGGGAGGGGAGGGTAGGATGACAACGCCGTGGTTTGTTTTGGGGCGGGCTCAAGCAAGTTAATTAGATTCCAACTATTTGATTAGACAAGGGTAATATTATCTCTTGAAAAAAATTGCTCTGACAAGAAAATTCTTGCTCTGACAATATCAAAACCCATTTCTATACAGACTAAATGGAGTAATTTGCTTTACCCAGCATCATCCAATTGACGAGCACACATTACATCTTTATAAAGACGATGGCTCTGTTTGGATTTGCTTATTTTTGCACAAAGTATCTTTGTGTGAAGGATATATAGTAATAAACTCCAAAACAACTCTAAAAGCATATAATTTCAAATACACTTAAAAAAAATAGAAGAATATATCCTAAACTTCTTTCTTCTTCTACCACCACCACCACCACCATTCCCTTCCTCCCTTCTCGGTGACCTCTAGTGCGCGACCCTCCCTCCCTCCAAGCCCTCTTCCCCTTCTTCCTCAACCAGCATTGCCCCCCTTCTCGGTGACCTCCAGTGCGCGACCAAAGTTGGTCGTTAGGGGTGCAAGAGGGCAGAGGGGGCTAGGTTGTGTGAGACTGTGAGGAAAAGTGGGTGGAGAGGGATGGGAAAGGAGAGGGAGAGAGGGAGAGAGGGGTGGTTGCTAGCAGTGATGAGTGATGGTAAGTGATAGGAAATTTTTAACAAATTTCTAAAAAAATATTCAAAATAATTTAAATTCTAAAAATGTCCCAAAATACAATTTTAAAACACCGAATCTAAATGAATCATCTACAATAAAAATTTTTCGCATGCATCGCTATGGTAAAGGTTTTGAAAAACATCTCTAAAAACACATGATCCATACTGAGCTTTTCTGATGATCTTAGGGACTTGGTTGAGGAACTGTGATGAGACTTGGTATTTGAACTCTTTTGGACTTTAGCAAATAACAAACCATTTAAGAAAAGTTGAACTCTAACTACAACTCTTGCAAGGTAAGAGCAAAATAATATAAAGTACAATCACCACAATATTCCCTGAGATTTCCCAAGCCTTCTAAAATAGAGGAATAGACATGCATCCTTTCTATTGCAGTAAAAATAATTGATATTTGAGTAAAATAATGACAAGCATAAGTAGATAAATTAAAACTAAGAACTCAAGAGACTTCCAAGCAATAACCAAATATTGTAAACGACCAACTAAGCAATTCATATAGCTCTCAAAAATTATAATCTTAATAAGACAAAATAAAAATTTTTCTTAGCCCATATAAACGCAAAAGGTGGCTCAGTCATAGTGACCCATAATTCACTCATATGAGGATATTTTTATGAACAAATTAAAGTTTAGATAAAATAAAATCATCCTTACATAAACAGCACCAGTTAAGTCATTAGCACCCACCAATGGGAACACAACTATCTTTTATACAAATAGGTCCACTTGAAGTTTAGAGCAGAAAACAAAGAAAAAAAATACTACTATTTACACCTGAAAAATTTGTAATGTTATCGTTAGAGAATTTAAATAAATTTAAGACTTCACCAAGTTTCAAGAGCGAGTTTAATGTAATAGAAGTTCTCATCATTTTGAATACAAAGCTGAAAAAGTTTGAGGCTTTTGTTGCTTCGAGGATAACCTTAACCATGATTTGTCATTTTAATAACTGTTGCAAGGGGGCGTCCATTTGGGGAGAGGGGCTACTGTGCCTTTTATATTATTTAGTGTACAATTACATTACATTATTATATTCGAAGTAAAAGTGGTGTGCGTGAATAAAATATTTGACATATATTCAGTACAACATTATAATATATTTGTACATAAAAAATTTAAATACATACAACGACTGGATAGAATTGCACAAAATACAATTGTACTGAGTCCTTGTCCGTTTGGACATTCTAATATGCACCTTCTGCGTATAGCTATTGCTCATGGATTCACCTTTATATAGTAAAATATGTTAAACATATTACCTAGAATTTCCTTAGCTCACTAAGGGCAATAGTAAACATTCAATAATCCTGAGTTCATTTTTCCCATGAGCCAAGAATTTCAAACTTAAAGAGTGCAAATCCAGTTTTTTGGTCAGTTCAACCATCTTTACAGCACAGTTTAGATTTAACAACATAGAAAATGTCAAAAAGGTTAATTGGTTATTAGGTCACGCTTTATTCTGCGCAACTTTGATAGACTTATGATTTAATAAAGACATGCTTGTTAAAACAATTAAGTTATTTAGATACATAAACTTCTAATTGTCAAACTTCAAAATCCTAAACTGACATGTAAAAATTTGCCGTTGTGAGTGAAAAAAGTTCACAAATGTCATCATTCAGGCATTCATTGGAAAAATTTTGAGGAGTATCCAATAAATACTGCATCTACCTTCAAACAGAACCATCAAATCTAACAAGCAGAAATAAGGAAAAAAGAGTATAAAACACCATGACTATTTATGTATTGCATCTCTTGTGCAATTTGTAATTTGTATGTGGTTAACAAAAAAAAAAAAACATAATAAAACAAAATTCTTAACGGAAGAGGCCATTCGTTATATCATTGTAATATAAATTATTAATTGTATTTTGCACCCTCAACTACTGCCAAATCGGAGTAACTACACTCAACTTTTAATTTTCAGTAATCCACTACAATAACACAACTTCCGGCGCATCGTAGTGGATTTCATCTGGCACTAATTGGCAAAATGACCCCCTTTCAAACTTTGTTCTTCTTTTGTCCCTAAAATGTGCCTTTCGGGAAAAAAAAATGTGGCTCAAAGCTAATGTAATCAAAGGCACAAATATTTAACTAACATTCTACCAAACAAGCACCAAAACATATGAAAGCAAAAGCGGAAAAATCAACCGATTGTTAGCAAAGGATTCTTGAACCGCCAAAAAAAAATTGATTACAAGTGACAAAAAAAAGTATCTTCTTGGAATAGGATCAGAAAGAAATTGAAGAACATTAGTACTTGGCAAAACTAAGATTAAAAAAAAGATTCTTGAACACCAAAAAGATGACACAAATCCTCAGGAATTTTTACAAAAGAAATGTAAAAAATAATAATCAAAACAAAGAAATGCAAATGAAAAAGAGAAATTGAAATTGGTGTCGAAGCAGATGGTACACAAAAAAGCGCTTAATAGCCGTGGATTGATTAGGGGTCCTCTAATTTTTGGACATTCTTCCCTTCCTCGTCCAGGACTCCAAACCACCAGTTCCTGGGTGATGCTATATGGTGTGGTATTGCTAAGACTAAAACCCTTTAGCAGGCCATTTGGTGGGGGAATATTTCTTTTCCCTTACAATGGCAATTGTAGTCGCGGTTTTCCACTATCTATTTGAATTTTTTAACAAGAAGAAGATGGAAATAAAGGAAGAGAAGAAGAGTTAGTATCTTCTAAAGAAGAAATCTTATGCATACTGATAGTGTATACATTATCATGATTGAATGCACGACATATATACAAAATTTGTATTTCAAAAATTTAAATTCGAATTATGTGTCGTGCATCCAATGGTGAAAGTGTACACATTGTCAGTATATAAAAGATTGATCATTTCCTAAATACTTGACTCTTATGCATTCTTGTGGAAGTTCAGTGAAAAGAAATAGAGGGTAAATTGATCACATGACTTCTTTTTTCCGTTTGATTTAGCTCCATTTTTTATCATGCAAAAAATTGGGAGTAGAAGGTAGCTAATTGCTGAAATTAAAGTGTAGGGTGCAAAGCACAGTATGAAAATAGTTCAGGGGTGCAAAGTACAATTAATTCTAATACCAAATGCACGTTTTTATCCGATTGTCTCGCGAGGAAAGTGCGCTAAAAGTACAAATATTACGTGTGGGGAAGATACTCTAACTCCAGACAAATCCCCTTTCCTTCTTGACTTCGGATTCTGTAACGTCGGTTAAATCCTCACTATATAAACAAACATACTTCAGCAATATTTGCAGTAAAACCTGTTTCTTGAATTTAATCGTTCCATCCTCTCTGCAGATTCCCGTTAATTTGCCCTTTGTTTCTTCCTCAATTCTTCAGATATCAAAACTGCTGTAATACTCCCCAGGGTTGTACAACTAGCCACGTTCAAGAACCACCGATTACTGATCTGACAGAGGAATCAGCAATGGATTTCGACCATAACGAGAGACCTAATTCCACGCTCTACCAGCAATTAATGGCTCTGCAACCTCTATATCCTACTGCTAGTTTAAGGGAACTGATTTCTTTTGCTGATGATCTGTTTCCTAATGCTTCGGAGGCTGACTTGATCAGCTTGCAGGAGGAAGGACTAATGGGGCAAGACGATGGTTATAGTACTGGTAATCTTATGATAAGTAGTGGGTTGCGAGAAGATAACATAATCCAGCAACTAAAGATCAGAAGAAGAAGTCGTCATCAAGAAGAGGTTGCAGATGATGATGAAGGCTTTGCAGAAATCTGTGTGGTTTGCCAGGGTGAATACGAAGATGAGGAGATGCTGGGAGCACTGGGATGTGGACACGAGTATCATGTTGACTGTATAAGAAGATGGTTATTGCAGAGAAATTTTTGCCCTGTTTGCAAACGCAAAGCTATTCAAGAACCGGACCCTCAATTTGAAAGCATCTCTTTAGATAAGTAGAATGGGGATTTTTTGAAACTGATTTACCTGTTTTCTGATTATACTACATTTAGGTACTTTTAATACTTATTTGGTTAATTGTAGTTAGTAAATGGGTGGTATGGGAAAGACTGCTCTGTGTACGGGAGTTGCATACAAGAATTTTCATTGTTTAAATCTGGAGACTTAGATTTACTTTTCTTCAGATATTAGTTGGGGTGATACATGATTTGTGGACCCTAAGTTCAAATGCCTTCTTGATGAAATTTTTGTGTTATTGATAGTGACAACTTGTAGTTGCTACTGACTTCTTTTGTTCTTATAAGCATAATTTGCACCAATATGCCTATTCAAACTGAGGGATTTCCTCTACTTGGCCTTCAATTCTGTTTCCAGCTGCTACTGATTTAGTAATGAAATTTGAGTATAATAAAATCCCGTCTTTTCTCTGTTCAAATTGTTGATTGCTCAATGAACTTTTTACTTTGAGCAATATATTGAGCAGGAAAACAGAAATATCGGACCTAAATATTGGCAACAAGGTGGTTATTATCCTCATCTAGTGGACCTTATACAAGTTCTATTGCAGATATTTTTGGTTTGGCAATTAGCTTTCTCCACCCTTCTCCGTGGGAGGAATTACTCACTGCATAGAACTGGGGGATGCTTTCTTGTAGTCGATGGTATCGTTTTTGGCGTTATGAGGTTTTAATAATCTTGTCATCCTTAGTTTTCAGATTTAATTACTCAGTACTGTTAATGACTGAACTTCTTAAATTTCATCAACATAGAATGTTGAAAAGCCTGTAGATAATTAATGACTTAAGAGACCATTCTTTGCTTGGACAAATCTGCTCAAATTAGAGCATATGGGCCAGATCCGAGGCAGAAGTTTGAACCAAGAAGAATGAAACTGGACACCTTCAGAACCGTTGCCTAGAGGGGATCCGTGCGCGCGGATCCATCCGGGGATCCTCTTTGGAGCACTTTGGAACGTTTTTTTCTGTACTTCTTTTGAGCATCTCCTCTGACCATCCAACCGTACATCTTCAGGCGCCTGAATGGACACATATGATGAATATGCAGAAGTTGTCCTCTTCATTGTAGAATGACTTTTAACAAGGTTGAACAGCACCTTTGAAGGTCCTCTTGAATGTTTTGTTAGAACTCTTCAGGAACAATGAAGATGCAAAGGTAGATAGGTCTCAAACACTTGGCAGCAACCAGATTTGTACCATTCCCCCTCTCTTAAAGGCGATTTATCTTCAAATCACGCACTTACTTATAATGAAGCGACTTGAGAAATGTCGTGATGAACGCAAGCCACATAGCATGTCGCCTACCCAATTTTACTACGTACATGATCCAGCACACGTTCTCCCTCACATCCTATTTGTCATGAATACGTATACAAGAACTCATGATCATCGACTTCAATGGATAGGATAATTGAAGCGTAGCTATGAATTCTTGGACCTCTATCAGATTCGTTCCCTTCCCTGTAGGTTAGTAGATGTAGATATGTGGCGATTGACAACCAAAAAAAAAAAAAAAGAACATGAATCAAGTTGGGCTGCTGTACACCTTTCCCAAATCAGTTTTACGAAATGACATTATGCTGATTTCCCAAAGAGCCTTGGTACAAACAGTCAGGATAAATGATATCATAGAGGATAAGTTGGCAATCTAATCCTCATTAGGACTGACCTTTCGTAGATGGAGAGAACAAGAAGAGATTAATTTTCTTCTTCTCTGACTGAACTTAGATTCTGTATATAATCTAATAAAAAAATGTAGCTGAAATCTGTGAGCTTCAGCATGAATTTTCCTTGTAGTGTTGCTCATGACTGGGGATAGCTAAAGATACCAATTATGTATGTGTTAACCATTTGTGGGTGATGGAGCAGCAGAGCTAACTATGGCATATGGTTTTGGTGATCTATGAGTAACTAAACGGAGAAACAAAAGCATGTTGTGAGGATGAGTTTGATCTTGAAAATGCAGAGCCAAAATAGTATTTATTTGCGTCATAACTACAAATCGATCCCTTCCCTTTCCTTAACTTCAGCAATCAACTCACAGTATCTGATTGTTGGTTGTTTTAGCTTTTAAACTATCTAGCTACAAATGTCACATGAGATCTACAAAAGGCAGATTCTAGAAGGCGATTACAGAGCAAGAGAACTTAATGCATTACTTCAAAACTGAGCAACCAATTGTAACACAAATCTATATGATTAGAGTAGCATTTTAACAGCTTATTAGCCAAAATAAGCACGTATACATTAATTTACACGAGAATTTTTAGTTCTAAACTAATTTGACTTTGTGGTATACGAGGCTCCTAATAATTCCTGCTGCATAGAAAGTCTGCGGAAGAGAGAGGACCTCTAATGCCACCATTCCTTATTGGCACCTGAAATCCTTCCTCTACTGATCTCCAGGACCAGTGGATGTCTTGGAGCTACCAGAATGCCATGACAATATCGATCCACGGCCTCCAAATTTATCATTCACCCAACCATAATGCTCTTGTTTAATACCAAGAAATGATTAAGGCTGCAGGCTGCAGCACATGTTATACATGGTTCTCATATGACATAAAGTGTGCAGTTTGAACACTTAGCAGCAACTTAAGGCCTTGAAAGTCCAATTGTCCGCCACTGGTTCAGGAGGAGATTGACTGCTTCCATCTCTACGTGCCTGTAGCAATTTTGCTCCCAGTGGATTGATTTCTTTCAGAAACAGTAATATTATTCCTCTTATCCACTCTACCAAATCCAGCAGGCACTTCAAAGCTATCCCAGGCATGCTTTGCTCGGTCCAAAGAAAACTTCATAACTGATGTGAAGCATCTGGTGCAATCACAATCTTTAATCTTACTATGGCTGCAAGTACCTACATATATACCAATTGAAAGGATGGGTTTAAGAAATTTGCTTAACACATGACAATGTATTTTTAAGTTCAAGCAAAAGGATTTACCCAGATCAAAGTCAGATAAAGAAAGAACTCAGTATAATCACTTTGGGAGGAGCAGCTTCACCCTAAGGGAATTCTGACAAAAGGTTAGGGACATCGAATGGAGTTGGGGATAAAGCAAATGATAAGTACCATGTAGACAATTTAAAGGGTGCATTATTTCAGTTATTGGAGAAAAAAGTGCTTGTTTTCTGTTAATTAACATGTTTTGTCCCTTTTCTCAATCTGCAGGTTTTCAAGCCCACTGTGTGGTAGAATATTTCAAACTAAATTGTAAAGAGTCGGAGACATTGTTACTCGAAACACTGAGTGATTGATGCAAATTTACTGCAGATACAGGAAACGAAATTGTAATTTCAAAACATAAATAAATTTTGTCCATCTTTGCTTGAAAAACTATCCAGGCTTTCCTTACCTTTTTGTACCAATAAGAAGACAACTAAATACAAAAGTAATTTATTGAAAGTGTGTTGCATTGCGCGTAACATTGGTTAAACACGATGTAACTTTTTTTTCACAGGATGTATTTTCAGAACAGATAGTGGTGGGCCCCACACTTGGCGTGAAAATCGAGTTACATGGTGTAATCTCAGCCGCACAAAATTTTGAGGGCAAATCTTGGCCCTTAACCGTGCAGGGACGATCATCAGTATGACCGTCCCTGCCCCAAATCCGTGTATATATATATATACATACTAGGAGGGGTTCACCGCACATATGCACAGTGTAAAGTTATATACGTCATATGGCCAGCATAAAGTCCATTGTAATTGTATTTTTTTTTTGAAAACAAAATAGATAATTCATAATTAGTAGTAATGACTTAGATAACTTGATGTTCAAAATATCATATTAGCCAAGTATATTGAGTCAAGCCCACTTATATTAATAAAGAAACATATAGTTAAAAATTTTATAAATTATTGCAAGTCGTATTCATAATTAGCTATTAAAAAACGTTTGTGGTATGAATACATATTGAAAGAACATGGCAATAATTATAACAAAATAATGACATATTATTATGAGTCAATTGTAAACATTATCAGTTTAGAAAAAGGTAAAGAGAGAACATGATGAACATTGGAGTAGAAATTATATAACCCTCTTAAAGGTCGCTAAAACACTTTCATTCATGGTAATCTACTTATCTACCAATACATGGCTCCTTAAATAAATAACCATGTTTAGAGTTGTATTCAGAATTACATTAATAGAACCCTCTGCTACTCTCCCAACCGGAATCTAAAATTTCCATGAGCACAATCATCTCCTGTCAGCTACTTTGGTGTGTATCAAGAACATCATGTGGTTCAGAAAACTTGCTTCACTCGAACTTCAATTAAATTTAACTCTGGGTGCCTAAGAATGACTTGAGGCAATAACTGCCATCACGAATGCCATCTCCAGAACGATGACTGAAATGTAATTTGATAGGGTGTAGATCATCCCAAATTTCCAACAATTCCTTGTGAACCTTAAAAAGAGTGAGTCAGTCGGTAAGTCCAGCCCCCTTGACAGATTTCAACCTGGATCTTGCATTTATCATGCAGATGGTAGGCTAAGTATATTAGACAATAATTGTAGACATGCTACTGGGATTCCTATGACTCGAGAAGCATTTCTTGAATAAAAACCACAAAGCAAATTGGCAGTTCCTGAAAAAGACATTTAACGACAATAAGTTTCTTTTTTCTTGATAAAAACTACAAAGCGAGTCGTCAGTTCCTAGAAAAGGAAAAGGACATTTAACATCAATAAATTTCGTTTACAGCATATTCAAACGAATAATGGAATGCATGTACATGCAGTATAAAGAGAAAATCTATTTAGTAAGACAAAACCCACACCCGTGCCAATTGAACAGATTGACAAAAAGGGAAAAAAGTATTTCTAATTGGCCATAAGTAGAATGATTCTAGACTATCAATAACTTGTAAACATCAGAGAGAACCTTAAAGTCATAAAACTTGGTGAATCAAGAATCAAAAAATGTCAAATAAAGATCCATGCATAGTCAGTTGCAGTCCTGTTTTGACAGGTATGTGAGCGATTTTGCTGAGTTGGGGAAGCATACAAAAGTATCTTCACATACTTCTGAATCTTTTGGATTAATTCAATGCAGTTGATATCAAGGGGAAAAAATTAATGATTAGACACCCAAGACAGCTTATTGAAGAAGGGAAAAAATTTTGAAGAATGATTAGATGAATGGTCAGTTCAACCTTAACGTTCTATTTACTCTTCTTTACTCTGAATATTGTAAGTTTGAAATTTTTGTGGTTTTGGGGGTGGGGGGGGGGGGGGCGGGAAAACCACCTTTCTCAGAACTTTGAATTCTCAGTTGGCCCTTTATCATTTGAAGAAGTTGCTCATTCTTAAATCAGTAAAGAAATGAAGCCGTAATGCCCCTGCACTGTTCAATACAAATACCTGTAACATACATATAAATTGAAATGAAGCGGTGATCATTCATTGTAAGCTAAGATTACACCTTCTCTAAGACATATTGTGTTGTATAGCTACTGGTGCTGATATCAATTTCTTATTGATATTTGAAACTAAAAATGCTTGACAATTACAAAAGCAATTTAAGTGAAGGGAAATGTAGTAGAAACAGTTATGCTTGTGTGAAGGTAATTAGGCCAGCTACATGTTATCATGAAAAGGGAAAGCTCAGCCAAACATTAAATAGCAGAACCAGATAAAGTCTGAAGATTGTTTTACAACAAATTATCAAAATCCACTTTGATTATACATCTTGAAAATTACTAAACAAGCAATGGAAAGAACAAACCTGCAGAATTGAAACTAATGAAATAGCAGATCCAGAAAGGGATGGAAGGCTTGACAGGTTAGTTCGGATTAGCAGAATCTGATGTGGAATAGGCTGAAAGCACCTTCAGAACCTACAAATTAGAAAAAAAAATGAATTTGCATACAGATCTTCAAGAAGAATCAAGTTGAGTGAAGCAAAAGACAATTGCAGCCTAAATTACTAAATTATTTTCTATGTTCAGGGAGCGAACAATCCCTTGAAAAGTATAGGTGCCGGTTGCACACGTTAAAGAGAACATTCAAGTGCTTGAACATGCTATCTCTGTTGGCTATAATTAGTTGATCTTCAAAAATTTGAGAGCCATTGATGGCTATTATTAAGAAAGCATACATTGTAGTAAAGTTTTACCCTTACAAAAAGCTATAATTAGTTTATCTTCAAAAATTGAGGAGAGACACTAAAGTCAACTGAAACAAAAAGATTTCTAATTCTCGACAAGCAGAAGGTTGATGATTAGCCATCATCCACCATGTGAAAATGCGTCATAAGACAAAGAAGGATCTCACTTAAGGAAAGGAACGCCAAAATTAAATTGAACAAGCATAAGAACCTGATCATCATATATATTAACTACTGATTCCGTTCTTAAAGCATATCACATAAATTTTAACTATTATATTGTTAGGCGCCTGACGTTCCAAATGTCCAAATAGTGGAAAAAATGCGGGAATACAAGATTTATTATTCAATTCTTTATCAGCTATGTAATAGTTATACCCAGAGCTGATTCGCCTATATAATGGAATAGAGAATCATAGAGGATAAGCCAACACCTTAAAATTCAATCACCACAAAAATTGCACAAAAAACTAATACCTTAAGGACCACTATGGGCTAAAAGATGGCGACAACTATGGCAGCTTTTTTCCTTCATGATTAGTAAATGAATCTAATAAAATTCCCCACAAATTAGAGAACAAAACAAATTAAACATTGGATTCAAAACAAATTAAACATTGAATTTGCTAGATCCATAAACCCAATTACCACTTCCATGCATAATATAGCAAGGTCGATGAAAATAACACCATTCAAACAAACAAAAATTTACACTAAAATTAACTATCCAAAATATCAACATTTTGATTTCCACCTAATGAAAACAACCTCTGATGAGATGTTTCTGCACATGTGAGAAGTGCCATTTTGTTAACATAGTTCCTAAAAATGTGTACACTGTGGTTCCCAACCAAAAATGCCCACTTACATTTGACCTAATGTGACCCAATGGCACAAATAGCAGCCAAATGTTTACAAAGACAGATATGGCAACTCACAATTAAATCTTAAAGACAAATTTAGTACCTCTATATTAACATTTTCCAGGCCATTGTCAAATTTTATAAGGCCGACAGCCATGAGAAATAAAAACCCCAAATGAGAGACTACATAATAAAAAGTTTTGCAAATTCACCAAATTTCACATACAATACATAATTAAAGCTTTCTAAATCTGCAATCAAGTTTCTTAATCTGAGAAGTCACCATGAAAGAAAAGAAAAGCTTGAGTTTAGTCAGATTTACCGGTCCAATATCATCAATCCTGATGATGGAGTGCTTCATTATGCACTTGCGGACATCAGAGCAGTCATAACAGAATGGAATAGAGTAGCTCGCATAAAGGCCAATCGGGACTTATGTACTGCACTTGGAATTGATTTTTCTATTTTCTAGCCAGATAGGGTTTGCATATAAGTGTATTTCAGGTAATATCTAGATGTATTTTTCCCTTTGATGCTGATCAATCGAAAGGAAGCTCATTAGAAAAAGGGGACAATAAGTATAGATATGTATATGACCTTGTGAGGTGAATCGTGCACCACTCCCAAAAAAAAAGCGGGATAAAAACCATCCCTTGGTTGTATATCTCAATTCCTCATCTTGTAACCAGGAAAAATGGATCTGTAGAAACCAAAAAAGGGTTCCGAAGAAGGAAAAAAATATAGTAGTACTATATGGATATGGAATTTCTAGGAGATCACGAGACAGTGGAGGAGAAAGATAAAAAGAGAAAGTGGAGTTATACAGTACCCATACCACATGGCCAAATCTAGTTAATATTTTCTTTTCTTGACTGCAGCAAACTGAAAAAAATGGCTTAACGGAGAAAATTTTTAGAACATAACATGAACTTTATAAATACCAGATCTCTGAGAAACAAAACAACAGACCTGGAAAAGTAAAAAATCATGGTCAAGGATAAAATTGACTCCAAAATTCCGACTGCTATCAGCCAAGAATCAAAAAAATAAAATTCAGAAAATCAATCAAAAGTCACCATAGTCAAGGAATTCATAATAAATAGGTGAAATGACAAAATTAGTTTTGCAGAATATTGAGACATGAAACTTTTCTTGATAAAAAAACAGAATATTTGGAGAGAGATTTATAGTTCTCCACTCCAAGATTTAGTTCATAGCTATATGAAGAAGGCTTGGCAGAGACTGACTTTCAAAATTTCTTTAAAGGAGGATCTCCTAAATAAGACGAGTAGCATGCAAATTAACAAACCAGTTTGTTATAAAACTTCTATGTCTGCAACTTCAAGAGTAGAAAATAAGATGAACGCACTTTGATAGACAACTTTGATAGTTTGGTCTATGTATATAGTAGCTTCATTTTTCATATAAATTTTTGTCCAAGTACTTTTAGAATAAACAAAGCAGCCTCTTTATAAAGCAGCAAAAGTCACAGACCTTTATTGTAAATTATACTTACTCATGGCATTGGTTATGGACCTTCAAAAGACACCACCATCTCAACCAAGAATCCAGAGGTCCATCATGCAAAATGGTTTCATTTGAAAGCATTTTCTGGCTATGTAACCTGAAATTTGGCAACCAACGGTTCATAATCATAAACTAACCATATGGAGAGCCAGTTACTAACTAAAAGAGGGGATAATTAAGTTAGAATATGGTAAACCTAATCCATTCCTCCGACCCCTAGTCTAACAGATACAGTAGGAAACAAATGCTAATAACCGTCAACTATCACTGCATGAAAACCAAATAGTGATGGGCCAATAGGCCCCTAGCAGAATAAAAATCTTAAAAAGTAGGATTTGATTATTAACAATTAGCTTACTCAACAGAGAAATATAGTCCACTTTTCGATAATTTCTTAACCATCTGCATGAGAATCTATATGTCAAAGAAATCACATGTACCACTCTTCTTCTTAAAGACTTACTACACATTGTAAATTCTAAAAGTGTACATTAAAGCAATCACAACAAAATTTTAACTCCACTTTAATGTAAACATGAGTAGTGTTTAGAGCTGAACCTTGATGTAAATGGTGATCAAGGGACCAGGCAACAAAATTTAACCCAATTCACAACCTCTCTCCCTTGATAGGCTCTTCCTCACAAAACCCCCATTTCACATTATATCAGCTGCTTCGATAAACAAGTTTTCTGGTACAATTGCTCACTCATATGTTACTTCATGGCTCTACAAATATACATAGATGAAATAGAAAATAGACCTGTATACACTAAAATCTAGGGTTAGGGTTCTGAAGTCATTTCCTATGGCAAATGATGGAGAAACGTTGCATTACAGCAAAAGGAAAAGAGAAGGTTGAACCAAAACTCAGAAGCATACTCAAGAAGAAAAGAACAAACACCGGATCTCTAGGTTTACAAATACTTCCGACTTTTGGTGCTTTTGGATGGATTAAGATGGAGATTTTACTGCAGCCTTTTTTTTTTGGCTCAAAGAAGGAGATGGAAGAATAGTATTTCAAACCTCTGGGTTATTAATCAAAAGATTAACAAATCCTAGCAGGAAAAATGGCTTTCTGTTTTGAATGAAGGACAGTGTAAAAATTTAGGGAAATATTGGAGCATACCGATCAAGATGATTTCTGTGTCTCATGCGTTTCATAGCTTCAAATCCAGACCAATTCTAATGACAAGGGAAAAAAATCAATTAGAATCATATAACTCAAAAAAGAAAAGAGAAGAAAGGGAAAAAGGGAGGGGAAACAGGAGGGAAGACAGAGAAGAAGGAAGTACCAAATATAAAAAAGAAAAACAAGAATGGGAAGAAAGGAACAAAGAAAATAAAAGAAAAAAGGAAGGGGAGAGGAACGAAGCAGCGGAGAAGAATGAAGGGAAAGAAGACAAGAAGCCCTAGGACAAACTCTTGGTCAAACTTGCCACCAATCTCCTCTTGCCACGTCATCAGGAAGCCAATCCCCTTATGACACATGGGCGGATGACCAAATCTGACGTGGCTAGAGGTCCTTCACGCTTATACTATAGGCTAAATATATTATATATGTATAGGATAAAATAAAAAATAAAAATAAAACAGCTAAACTACTTATCTTACAACAATTACCTTGCGTGTTCGGAAAGGGGAGCAAGAGTATGAGTTGGGGACAGTACACCAAGGGTAGCAGAGACTGGAGAGAATAAGGAGGAAGTAATGACCAGTGGTTGTAGAGAAAGGGGAAAATTACCAGCCAGAAGCATGAGAAAAGAGAGACCTCCTAGTGGAATTAGCTAAGGGAGTTGTTCAGTGAGGTGGCAGGGGAGACTAACTTGTAATTAAATTGTTATACTGACTTGATCCATTGTGGCCCACACATTGAGCAGGTGTACATGTACATGTTGGAACTTGAACACGTACTTTATAACTAAAACATTAGAAATAAATATTGTGCATACCTTGTGAGATTGCTACCTCTGTGCTTGAGAATGGAATATTTCATGATTATTATCAGGCCTATTCAATAATAAATGAACTAAATTGGTCATCAATCAGATCATAGGCATCAAGTTTGTACAATTAGAAAGATTAACAAGAGGAGGCAAGAAGAGGGACATAAAGAGGACTCCTAAAATAGCTTATGGTCAGCAAGGGAACAAGAATCAGATATTAAAGGGTAGAACAGAAAGATTAAAGAAGATACTAATAAATAGTTCATGAAACAAAAAGAAAAATCTATTCTCTAATGGAGAATGAGTAGAATCCATGTTCTATGTTCTTGGATGATTATATCTGTTATTTAGTTAATGATGTGACAAGTTCTTTTACCTGTTAAAGTAAGTTGAGTGAAAACCTTCATGCTAAGTTGAGACTTAAACTTCTAAGTAGCAGTGTAAATTATTAATCAAAACATTGCTGGAGCTTTAGCTTCACATGAGTATCACAACATAACATGGGGCTACAGTAGTTCACAGTTTTTTTGAGTCACTACGTGACATCGTATATAAGTTCAACACTTTACAAGTTTTACTGGTCTTTCCAAGGTATTTGACGAAAATCATAAATATTCTAAATATTAGGCCAAGCCTTTGAAAGTCCCTAATAAACAGATATGTTTTACACTTTCTTGAAGGATAAGTGGAAGGCAAATAACAAGTGACATGATGAAAGAAGATACCAAAAAATCCTGCATAAACAGACCTTTTTGACTTTTGGAAAGCTTAGAGTTCAACAAGTATCTAAGTTTACAATTTATCCCACAAGTGAACATGAAATAAGGAATAAGCATTTTAACAGAAACTCCAAAAGGGAACATGATAAGTGAGTAGCTGTATATATGGTTGCTGAATGTTTGAAAGCATGAAGTATCACATATCAATATAAGGGTGCCTATGCTTCTCAAATATTCTAAAGTTAATAAACTTGTGCATGTCAATTCATTAAGTTATACAAACATCAAGGGGAAAGCATAATCAAGAAAAAAAAAATGAGAAAATTGATTCTAAGTACAAAACTTGTAAGTTTAATAGATTAACAAGGTACAGTACAAGAACTATGTGGGAAATAGTATAGGATGACTGAAAAACAAGAGTAAGATGAATGTCATACAATATAACAGAATATGATTTCTACAATTAAAGTGTTCCAAAATCACTCAGATTTTCAAGTTGCTATGTGAATAATTATAGAAAATGAGCCTAATTGGAGAACATTTAATTTTGTGATAAACCCAATTACCTTTGTTCTAATGTTGTCTGCCTTTTAACCACTCTGTACATGAAATGACGTTTCTGACATTATCAGCAGCCTGAATCCAATCTACTGTAACCTGGTTCCTTTCTAATTCTACTTTTATCCATCAACTCCCTGACCTTATTTGCATCATCCCATCTCTCTACATCAACAAACATGTTATACAGCAAAACATATGGGCCAGAGTCCTCTGGATCTAGCCTCAACAAAGCTTCAGCTGCTACTTGTGCTATCTCCACATTGTTGTGCACCTTACAGGCATTTAGTAATGCACCCCAGACAGATTTATCAGGTTCAAGTGACATTGCGTAAATTATGTTCAAGGCTTCCTCAACATTTCCAAAACGACCCATCATGTCCACAATGGAGGCAAAGTGTTCAACCCTTGGTTCAATACCAAATTCATTAATCATGGCCTCAAAATGCAACCAGCCTTGATCAACAAGACCAGCATGAGTACATGCATTCAGAACTGCAATGAATGTAATGTAAGTAGGTCTCACTCTTTGTTGCTTCATCAAGTCAAATAGTTCAAGAGCTTCCAGTGCATAACCATGAGATGCATATCCCCCAATCATAGCATTCCAAGAGATTACATCTTTCTCAAATTGCATCTCATCAAAAATAGTTCTTGCTTCAAATATTGCCCCGCATCTAGCATACATTGTAATAAGCGAGTTATTTAACGGAATATCAGGCACAACAATCTTTGTTACTAACTGATGAATTTGCATTCCCAGATCCACTGCCACAGACTCGGCACAAATGCTAAGAAGTGAAGATAATGTGTGTCGATCAGGTTTTTCTCCTGCTCCTTGCATCTCAATAAAAAGCTTGATGGCTCCATCATAATCTGCATTTTTCTCACTTCCTGCAATAATTGCATTCCAAGATATCCTGTTTTTCTCTGGCATCCTTTCAAAAAAATTACGAGCAAGTTCCAAGTTTCCTGACTCGGAGAACCCTGAGATCATTGAATTCCATGATAATGCATCTGGGCGTGGCATTTCAGAGAAAAGCCTTGAAGCTTCTTCCATATTTCGTACGTGAACATAGCCACTAATCATGGTATTCCACGAAACAGAATCACGCTCAATCATCTTATCAAATAACTCCCTGGCAGAAATGATATCTCCAGTTTTCACATAGCACATGATCATAGAATTCCATGACACCAAATTTTTCTCAAACCTTTTAACTCCATTCCTATTATCATCGGCAGCATAAATTGGGATTTGATCAAAAAGTTTCCGGGCATCGTTCACCCTTCCCTTTTGGCCGTACCCGGCAATCAAAACGTTATAAGCTTGAAGATAATCTTCACTCCCACTATCCCTCGTCCCATACTTGAACAGAACATGTGCAGCAGCATCCAACTCTTCATTCTGTATTAAACCAGACACAAGAACACTTAAAGAAGCGGCGTCCCTGTCAGGCATTCTCTCAAAGAACTCAACCGCCCTTTTCATATCACCATTTTGCAGCAACCCAGAAACGATCGCATTCCAAGAAACAACATTCCTCTTAGGCATACACATAAAAAGCCTCATTGCTTCATCTATTCTACCATTTTTCGCGTACCCACTAATCATCGTGTTCCACGAAACAACATCCCTCTCCGGCATTTGATCAAACAGGTATTTTGCTTCTTGCATATATCTACTTCCCCGACACCCCATATAACCCGAAATAATCAAATTCCACGAGACAACATCCCTTTCAGGCATTTCATCAAACAGTTTTCGAGCTTTTGCAATTTCTCGCCTATGGACATATCCACTCATCATTGAATTCCATGTGATTGTATTTCTAAGTCTTAGTCCATCAAACAAAACTCTTGCTTCTTGAATCCGGCCACTTCGTATTAAACGTGTGATATTCTTGTTCATTATCTGGAGGTCTCGGGGAATCTGAGAAGCAGAATTGGAGACTAAACTGCAAAGACAATGAGCTACAACAGGGTCGTGATTAACAAGTTGATATTCACAGTTTGTCGTCCTAAAATTTAATAAAATATTGTTTAAGGTAATCAAATTGCTCCGCCATCGGGCGAACATTTTGTTTTTAAGGATCTTTAGAATGAGAGACTAATCTGAACTTAACTGCAAAAAATTTCACTTATTAATCCGAACTTAACTAATTCGAAACTTACACATGTAAGGCCTCATCTTGGCCCATTTTTTTCAAAATAAGTTTCGGACCGAGACTGTATAAGCCATTAGCTTGAATTCTGTCGAAAAATTATGCATATGATCGGATTTTTAAAACGTTTCATAAAATATGTAGATAAGAATGCTCAATTTATACATTTACCATAGATATTTATTAATTTATTAATTGTAAATTATTTAATTAAAAGAGTAATGCTTTAAGATAAATATATTATTAAAATAATTATTTTATATGATTTTGTTTATCTTCAACATGTATAAGTATTAAACAATATAAAGTATTTGATCTGATCTGATATTGGGAGCGTTTGGATAGCACAAATATTTTAAATAATATTTCGCTTGCATCATAAACATATTTTTCAACCCACCTTTTTATATTTCCAATTATCTTTTTATCTCACATACATCACATCACAAAAAATACTACAGTAATTATTCCAAATAATATTTCAAATAATACTCTATCCAATTATTTTGATCGAGCATAGATGAGATTGAGTTTAACTTCACCTAAGCCCAACCTATAGACAACAAACATGCTTTTCTTTTAATTATGTTTAATCTCACATTGAGTAATAAATAAAATTTAACTTCAATATCATACAGAGAATTTATGTAAAATAGACTGACTTTTTTATGGATGTGAACGATGTCAATTTTTTTTATAAAAAGAAAAAGTCAGAATTGGAAAAACCACAAAGTCTGGAGATTCAATTACTTCATTTCTCTCGCACTCTACATGAATAGGAACAAACAAATAAATAAATAGATAAATATAGTTGTGAAACACAAAAAAGGAAAAAAAAAACTTGTAGCTATTCTTCTCCAAATGCGTTGAATATTTCATTGACATTTGCAATTCAATTATATATATATATATATTCTATAAAACATAGGAATATATGTATGCATAGAAATTGTTAAAGAAATTTAAATATAAGGGTATTATTGACAATTCATCACCTTTGATGTTGGTATATGGTCCCACTATTACTTCAAGAGTGCTAAGCGAGATTTTGAAAATTTCAAGGGAGTTAGGTGATATTTCTTGAAACGTCCGGGGAGGTTTCTGAAAGTATCCCTTCTATAAATCCCAAAGAATGTTTGGAAAGTTATTTTGCACAATTCTATGTTAAAATCTCCAACTGATACCTTAACAACACCCTAGTGGAGACAATTGCTAACTTCAATGAGTAGTTGCAAAGGACGTCGAATTTTGTTTTAGCTTTAATGACCAGCCCAACATGCAGGTGTCAATTTCCCTATTATTGTAGAGAAACCATTTATAGTAGTGCAAAAACATGAGCAAGAGAAAGTGCGAGCATTTTGAGAAATTGCCTTTCAAAACAATCACTAAGAAATCTAATCTCTTTGAAAGGCATCAAAGTCTAACTAATGCAGTTCTTTGAAGCCTCACCAGAACGTCTATCGGGTCTAAGCACATTAACCTAAATACAACTAAAGTGCCCATTGAGGATAGCCACGGACAAGTTCTCCACCTGCCAAGAGACGCCAAGTTTTGACTCCCAACAGCAAGCTAAATTTTGGATTCCAAGGAGATGCATACCTCATCTTCAATATTAATTAGATGTACACCTTGTAGGGCAATTATTACAATGATAATAATATTTTGGTGACAAAACTATTTCTTCTAACCATCTCTTCCTACATCTTTTTAACTTGCATATTAACTTCATTAAACTAGCGTTTGCATCCCCAACATCTAGCTATTTCTTACCTTTTTTTTTTTTTTGTCAGCAACGATACATTTATATAACCTACTCTATCCTAATCTAGGGGAAGGAGAAACCTAAGGAGGCTGTGATAGGGGGCTAGTGGGTATACAGACCCAACTAGACCAAGGGAGTGCTATGGCACAACTCTTAGATTTTTTTCGCTACAGGTGAAGTTTGAACCCTCACCTACAGTCCAAGGAGGGGCTTAAGCCCCTTCCTGGTGGCCACTGAGCCATTAGTCTAGTGGTTTGGCTATTTCTTACTCGCCTAAAGAATTTTCAAACAAGTTCATCAACGTATCAACAGCTCTTATGTAGCATCAGCATCACCCAATCCACCAACAATACAATCATTCAAGAGGACACTAAAAAAAAAACTGTAAAACTTGGTAAAAGGATTAAAAAAAAAAAAAAGCTCTGACGCACTAATATGAAAATAAAATCTAGCAAATAAAAAACCAATCAAAAGCTCCCCTTGAATTGCAATGCCAGTGCAAGAAAAAATGTAGTAAGATTTCTCCATGTAGCAATGTTCAATATTATTTGTATGGTAAACATAATAAAGTGGAATATAATTTTTTTTTGGACAAGTGGAATATAATGTTAGCATGACTAATGAAGGAAAAAGAGGACATATCAAGATAAAGTCCAGTTACCAATAACAGATCCGAGCATAGAAATGAAAGACGTATTGTATCACTATTAGTTCAGTAATAACCACAAAGCAAAATACAATTAGGCATTCGATTGGGGGGAGAGAGAGAAGGAAAATCATGCTCATGCATCTTCCTTCACTTCAACTTTTAACTCGTACATATTATCTTGAAACCCATCAAAAAAAGCACCAATCTTATCGAAGTTTTTGCAATACCCACAAAACAAAAATCAAGCTTCTTTGAATGTGCAACAATAGCAAAACGCTTAATAAATCAGGCAAACTAGTTAAAGAAATCGCAAGAAATGGCCGTAGAATTCCTTAATTAGTTTTTTCAATTATTACCAATCACGTTATCAATTAGGTAAAAAAAAATGTATCAGTTGAAAATATTTTCACAATTAACTATATCTTGGGAGTTTTCAATAAAAAGCACCTTCTGGATCAAAATTTGTTTTAAAGTATGACAAACCTCAAATACAGATGGCAAGATAAGTTTCAAACAACCACAAATCTCTTCCTCCAATTAAAGCCGGAACATTATTAATTCTCTAAACCTGATTAACAAAACCATGCTTTTTACTCCAAATTTCGCCTTCTATTTGCAATCAATGTCAATTCGCCAATCAAGAACTCTCAACTCCACAACACCAGAAACCAAAAAAAAAAAAAAAACTCAACACTTTGACAAAATGAGAAGGAATCTAAGATTAAAGGGTGCATATTAGTGAAACCAACAAAAAAAAACCAAATAAGCTAAACAGATCCCACAAATTATTCTAAAATCAATTAACTCTTGACGCAAGCCCACCAACAAACCTAATTATAAACTGCAAATATAACCAAAATTCCAAAAGGAATTTACCTGAATGTTGCTACGATTACTGATGGTGATTTATTCTTGCAGAACTCCAAAGAAGCTGACAGCGTGAGAACAAGGAAGCGAAGGTCTTAGAGAAGTGCAATTGATAGGTGAAAGAGTTTCTAATGTACTTTGAAAATGGCCTATGAATGGTGAATATATTATCAGTAACAACTAGTTATTCGCACAAGCACTTTTATCTTCTAACATTTTTTCTCTTAAACAAATGTGAATATTGATTTCAAATGACGTTTTTTCTCTTAAATGAGTATTGATTTCAAATATTGTTGTGAAACTAAAAAAATAAACTGAGAATAGAGTAGAATGGACACAAGCAAATAGTGAAAAATATTTCTATTATTCACTTGTATATTCAATAGACCTAAATGTTGCAAATGAGGTTGTGATACCCCTATTTATAGGTGATACAAGGCCAAATGTATATGCAATATAAAAATATGAATTTAGTACTTCAATTATATAAATTAAGCAGTTCTATAATGAACTATTGAACTAAAAGAATATGCATCAATATACCAATGAAACCTTGTAGGGAATGGATATTTCAATGTATAACTTGAGAAGATAAATAAGCATCCATACTTATCACTTATTAATTTCACAATACTCCCCTTCGATGTTCATTATATAAAAAATATATTTTGTTAAAACCTTACTAAAAAAAAGTCAATGAAAAAAAAACTCTAATGAAGAAAAAAGAGTACACTATTTTTGTGTATCAATATTGCATATAACTCCCCTTGTTGTAAATATCATTTGAGATTTTTAATCTGACACATACTAATCTTTCTTACTAATTTCTCAAATATTGTAGTCAGCAATGCCTTTACATATAAATTTGCTAGATTATCATTTAATCGGATTTGTTGCACATTAATTTCACCAATCTTTTGCAGATTATGAGTAAAGAAAATTTTGGCAAAATATGTTTCATACTCTTTTTAATTGAACTATACAAGTTGCATTATCTTCATATAATGTAGTTAACAGATTTTCTTTCTCAGAGGATTACCCACAATTCTTCTGAATATAGTGGGCCATTAATGATAACCAAACACATTCTCGACTAGTCTCATAGCATATTCTCGAGTAGCCTCACAAATTGAAATTATTTTAGCTTGATTCGAAAAAGTAGCACTTGATTGCTTTGAATATGACCACGAAATAGCTATACCACCACATGTAAATAGATAGCCAATTTGAAACCTTGCTTTATGTGAATTAGATAAATACCCAACAACAACAAACCAAACAATTCAAGTCAAGATTTATTTGAATAAAAAAACTAAGATTAATTATTCATTGGAGATAGCAAAAAATATCCACTCGCAGTCTAAGAAAATCCTTAATAGGATCAAGTGACCGAACGACCATGAAAGTATTTAATGGATATATTTTATCTATATAGAACCGTTTTAATACCTTTTGGGTATAAGTAGTTTGGCGGACAAAAATTTTTACTTTTCAAATGCTCAATTTGTAAATCAAGGCAAATTTTAGTCTTCCAATGTCTTTGATCTCAAATTCAATCTTTAAATATTCAAAAACTTTTAGGACTCTTTAAGAGTTCCAATCACATTGAAATCATCAACATGTACAATGCGAATACCCATTTATATTCAATTGGTTTTGTACCCTTAGGTACTTTAGACTACAGATTCAAAGGGTTTTCATTGTGCCATTGTAG